AATAATGATGTAGATATAAATAAATTACAAAAATATTTAATGCAACTCAGAAAATAAATTGTCATCAAAATTTATATGACGGGAAAAGAAGACTAAAAAAATATGAATCATCATTAAAATAAAGTACTGAATAAAAGAATAATGTACTAAATAAATAAAATTAAATTAAAGGATATATAATAAACTTATAATTACCTGCAGCAAATTCAGCATTCACCACGATGACTTGCTTCAGTCTAGAGTTGACTCTTAAAATCCAAAAAAAAAAAAATTTGTCCCAAGTTCACAAATTCTGAAAGTGAGTAAAACACATTTAAGATTAATAATCGTGCAGAAATAATTAAAATCTAATTTGTAATGTAATGCATCAGAATAATAAGTAGTCATCAAAATTTTTATGACGGGAAAAGAAGACAAAAAAATATGAATCATCATTAAAATATTATATCAAGATTGAATAAAAAAAAAATATATATAAAACTCACCTAGAATTATTCGAAGTAGTGCCTTGGCAAATCAACCACAGCAAAAGTACCTGTAAAATAATACAAAATTAATAGAAATTCTTGAAGCATAGACGGTACAATTTTCAAGAAGTATATATATAAAGTAAATACTATTAAAATTGTAATATTTAATACTGTGGTATTTAAGAATATATATTAACACACAATGTGCTAAGTTTATTTATTCGTATGTTATAAATGCAGTAACATTTATACAGTCAGAAATAAAAAGCCCACATACCCCGATTCAAATTTAAATTATTTTTTATCAAATCAGATTTTTTATGATTATATTTTTATTTTTTTATGGTTATAGATTTATTAGGATATTGTTCTGTTGATAACACAGCAGAACTGTTCAGTAGATAATTTTTTTTTATTTTTAAAGAAGAATTATTACAAAAATATAAATATTGTGTAAAATACTAAAGAAGACATTTCCATTAAGAAATTGATGGAAATTGTACAAGTGTTTTAATCAAGAGTTCTGCTGTATAAATCAATTTGAAGATTTATAACAATCGTTTAAGATTTTAATTAAGTTGAATTAAATTGTGATTTAATTGTTTTAAATTTTTAAATGTATATAATCAGAGTTCAATCACCATTTTGATATAAATATATTGGAATATTCCAATATCAAGTTGATGATTTAGCAATAGTTTAAGTATAATGAAAAATATATGTTCATTCAAATGAAACAAACATTTGTTCATTCAGGGGTCGCCAATGTATCTAGAAATAAAAAATGGTATCAAAATTACTGTAATATAATTGAAAAAAACATTGTTTAGCTAATAATATTTTGGAAGAACTTGATTACCATTTTTTCATCAAGCTTATTGCTGAGCTTGAACAAAATAATAAGAACAGATTTGTTTCACAAATCTGCCTAACATAATATATGGTCTTGAAAACAATGTGTTATTTCTAAATATCTCCACAGAATTTCTGTATTTATAAATATTTCCACAAATAAACGTTCCCCAGAACGTTTAATTGAAATAGTTAATCTGGCGACACCCATAAATTTTTATTTATCATTGATAAATATCGTATCATTGATAAACCCAATTTCACATAAACATAAGATAGATATAAACGTAAACTAACGGAGTAGATTTACTCACCTCAGAACGAGAGCTAAATAGCCATATTCTCTAATCTGTATAATTGGTCGAGAGATCAGATTCAGGAGAGATCATCAAATTTCAAAATTTTCATTTCACATTTTGAATCAGACACAATTTCTGTTAGAATAGTTGTTACCATAAAAATATGCAGAATTAAAACAAAACCATTTCTCATTCTTTGTATATAAATTAAATATTTGTGGTAATAAATGAATTAAATTAATAATTTGAAGTTAATTGAAAATTCATAAGAACAAAAAACTTTTTTTTTTTTTACTAACAATCTAAAACTTTGTATATGAATTATAATATTCGTGTTTCTTAAGCATAAAAATAACAAAAAAAAAAAAAGTAAATTAAAGTAAATCAATAATTAGAAACTGAAGAAATTGTAGTTAATTTAATAGAAAATTCGTATTATATCTCTTCGTGAATGAGAAATTTTTACAAATCAAATTTTTGTTACTGATACAATAATCTTAACAAAACAATTTTTTAATCTTTGTATATAAATTAAATATTAGTGTTTCTTGAACATAAAAATAACTGAAAAAAAATATAAATTGAAGTAAATCAATAATTAGAAACTGAAGAAATTGAAGTTAATTTAATAGAAAATTCGTATATATCACTTCGCGAATGAACAATTTTACAAGTCAAGTTTTTTTTACTAATACAATAATCTTAACAATTTTTCACTCTTTGTATATAAATCAAATATTCATCTTTCTTGAACATAGTAATTACTGAAAAAAAATAGAAGTAAATAATGATTGAAACTAATTAAAGTTATTAATTGAAAATCCGTATCGTATCACCTCGTGTCAATGTGAAATATTACAAACCAAGTTTTTTTTTTATTAACACAATCGGAAACAATTATTCTCATTCTTTCTTGAACTTGAACTTAGTAATTACTGGAAAAAATGTAAGTTGAAGTAAATAATTTGAAACTAATTGAAGTTAATTGAAAATTCGTATTGTTTCATTTCATCAATAACAAATTTTACAAGCCAAGTTTTTTTTTTTACAAACAAAAATCTGAAACAATTTCTCACTCTAAATATAAATTTATATTTGTGTTTCTTGAATATAGTAATTACTGAAAAAAAGTAATTTGAAGTAAATTAATAATTTGAAACTAATTGAAGTTAATTGAAAATCCGTATCGTTTCACTTAGTTAATGTGAATTTCACAAATCAAGTTTTTTTTGCATTATCTTGATCAAATGAAAGTATTACAGAAAAAAATTACATTCCACAATAGTATATTTCAATAATGTAATTGATATTTTATCAAATGAAAATGTTTCATCTAATAAGGATAAGAAAAGTAATTGTAATATATTTTTATCATAGTATCGTTAAACAAATCCTAAATATTAGGATTTGTACAGTGCCAGAAGGCACAGAATAAATAATCCTGTCCTGCGGATTTAATTTAATTATCTTAAACGTGATTATTAAAATACCATCATAACCAGGATTCATGTTTCATTAGTTAATTTCAGTTCGTTGTTCTATTAAATGTTCAGTCACTTTGCAAATTCATGAAGTGAAAGAATTTAATTTCCCTTCAACAAAGGAGAAATTCCTTGTATTTGAATACCTTCAGTCTTTTTCCAGAAAATAGAAAGCAATCTTCATGGTCAGCAATCGTTTGAAATGTCCACCTTAAGACAATTTCTCAAAAATTAAGAAATCAAATTAGAATGTTAATTTTACCTCATGTAATATTAACCACTCAACATACTAAGTTTTTGGAGAAACTTATGTTGAGTGGTTAACTCAACCGGCATATGATTCCATTGATGCACATTTGTAATATTAATTTAATATTCATTAAATCCCAATATGCAATTTTATATGTATATGTATAGTATGCATATAAATTTTGTACGATCCCTCATATCAGACACTTTCATCTGATAAATGGAAAGAAAAACAATCCCTTAACTGTTCACCTTATGACAATTTTTCAAAAATTAAGAAATCGAATTTAAATGTTAATTTTACCCCATGTAGAAGTAACCACTCAAAATATGAAGTTTTTGGAGAAAAATATATAATGTTGAGTGGTTAACTTAATCAGCATGTGTTTCCATTGATGTATATTTCTAATATTAATGATTAAAATCCCAATATTGGTCAATGTACAAGCTTACAAGCCAATAAAAATAAAATAAAAAAAAATCCTAATATGCATTATTATATGTACTATATATAATAGTAAAAAAGATCAAAATAATCCCAAATCATTTCTGGGGATGAATTAAATAATTCGTATAAATGTATATGGTGAAAATCTGATCTGAATGAATTAGAAATGAAATATGATAAAAACCACTGTCTGATGTAGGC